TGTGGGGATTTTATTTTTTCATTGCTCGAGGCCAGCAAGTGCGCGCGGTCCTCGGCTTCCCTCTTTTATTTTCCCTTTTTCCTTTCCTCTTTTTTTATTTCCGTTTCCGTTCCCTATTTCGGGGAGTATCCTTCTTTCAGGCTTCGGCCGAAGGGTGTGCTTGTCCTTCGGCCGGTTCGGACTTCGTTTATAACGTCCGTGATCTCAGGGGGGTCCTGTCGCCTATTTATGACGCGGGCTAGACTTTTGGTTGGTTTCCAACGGCTGCCGTTGCCCAACCCTGAGTGGGGGGATTCTGTCACCTCGTCCATGATTTCAGGCCTGTCGTCTTGCGATCTGGCGCGTGGACGACGCGGTGAACTTCCCATTTTAAGACGTGGGCCTTCATCGGCCCCTCGTCCTGGGGACATCGTCGGCCATACCTGAGCGTTTCACTCTAGGCTTACGGGGCCAGGACGATGTGCTCTCTCAGCTAGGCCTGAGCCCTTCGCTGATACAAAATACAATGGAGTATGCCTGAGCTTGTCGCTCGTAGGCTGCAAATGCAAGGTGCCACGTCGGCCATGCCGGAGTCTTTCGCTCTAAGGTGGCTGATGAGGGCACCTGCTAATATTTTACCTTAAATTCCAAAGAAAAAATCAAGAGGAACATGATTTTATTCATAAGTGGCTCGAGGCCGAGGGTGACATTCAATCAGTAACCCGTTAAGGGGTGAGGGCTTCGCCGTCTGCACCTCCTTCGGATTACTGATAAAACTTCACCAGATGGTGTACATTCCACGTTCGTGGTACATTGGACCCATTCGGGCGTTTAAGCTTGTAGGTGCCGGGTTTGACCACGACACTGACGATGTAGGGACCTTCTCACTTCAAGGCTAGCTTGCCTCCTTCCGTCGGCTAGCTCGCTTCCCTTCGGCGGAGGACGTAGTCCCCCACTTGGAATTCTCGGGAACGTACCTTGGCGTCATAGTATGATTTTACCTGACGCCGGTAGTTCTCTGCTCGGATGAATGCTTGCTCGCGTCTTTCTTCGACCAGGTGGAGGTCGATCTTCATGTTCTCCTCATTAACCTCTGGGTCATACTGCTCCACTCGTCGGCTGGGAATGGTGACCTTTGTGGGTGCCTTAGCTTCAAAGCCATAGCACAGAGCAAAAGGTGTTTCACCCGTCGCCCTCCTTGGCGTGGTACGATAGCACCACAGGATGTTGGGGAGCTCGTCGACCCAACTCCCTCCTGCGTCCTGTAGGTTCTTCTTCAGCCCTTCCATGATGGTTCTATTGGCGTTCTCAACCTGCCCGTTGCCTTGAGGGTAGGCAACGGAGGAGAAACGGTGTTTTACCCCCCATTCTCGAAGGAGCCCTTGGAAGGGCGCCGCTTCAAACTGGGTGTCGTTGTCGGATATGATCTCTTGGGGGACACCAAAGCGGGTGAGAATGTTCTTGTGAACGAACTTCTGACACCTGGCCCCCGTGATGCTGGCCAGGGGTTCCGCTTCGACCCACTTAGTGAAGTAGTCGACTGCAACGATGATGTAGCGGTTGTTGCCGGCCGCTCTGGGCAGAGGGCCGACCAGGTCAATCCCCCACCTTGAGAACGGAATAGCAGTGCTGACGGGGGCGTAGTTGACGGCTGGCCGACCAGGGGCCTTCTGGAGTACCTGGCACGTGGTACACTTCCTGGCCAGGTCCGCACAGTCTCACGCCATCGTCGGATAGAAGAAGCCCTGGACGACGTGACGTCGGGACATGCTGAAAGGGCCCTGGTGCGAGGAGCAAACACCACAATGAACTTCTTCCATGGCCACGTCGGCCTCATCCTGGTGCAGGCATTGAAGGAGAGTGCCATTATAAGATCGTTTGTAGAGTTTGCCATCTTCAATGGTGTAGCTTGGGGCCCTGAGTTTGGCGAGTTTGGCCCTCTCCTCGTCCGGGGGCAGCTCCCCCGTCGTGATGAAGGTGATGATGTCGGAGATCCAGTCCTCCGGTCGCTGTTGGACGCACAAGACGGGGCTGGCATGGATGCTGGACATGCTCAACTCCTCGATCTTGGCTACCTAGGAGATGTGCTCCGGGGTGTCCGAGCTGAGTTTGGAGAGGATGTCGGCCTCGGCGTTCTCGGCCCTTGGGATCTGTGTGATCTCGTGGGTTTCGAACGCCTTCAGCAGCTCCTCCGCTGCTTGTTTGTACTGCTTCATCCGGCCTTCCTTTGCTTCGTACGTACCCTCAACCTGGCCCACTACCAGCTTGGAGTCGCACCTGATTTTGATGTGTCGGTCTCTGAGACCGGCGGCGAGTCTGAGGCCGCTGAGGAGGGCCTCATACTCGGCTTCATTGTTGGATACCCTGAAGTTGAAGCGGATGGCATAGTAAGCTCTGAATCCTTCGGGGGATATGAGGACGCCGCCGCCACCGCATGATTTCGCGGCCGACGAACCGTCAGTGAAGCGGATCCATGTGTCATCGGGCTCTGGCCCGGGGGCGGTAGCGGCTGTCTCCCTTGCCGTGCATTCGGTGACGAAGTCGGCCAAAGCTTGCCCTTTGATGGATGGACCTGTGGATCCATAGACGGAGAGGCCGCGGCCATAGGCTGGGCCGGGGCGTGGTCCTTCTTCTCAGCTCGTTTCTTGTCCAAGCCGATGCGGGCATCAGGGGCTCCGCCGTTGAGTTGGTTGCGGAGGTCCGTCGTGAGGTTGATGGCCTCCTGGAAGATGTCCCCTCCGCCGACCTGGTCGGCCGTAGCATCCTCCTCGTGCTCCCTGGTCTCCTGGTCCTCAGGGATGGCCTTGCTGACGAGGTTGCGGTTTGACTTAGTTCTTCCCATGATCAGTGGTTAGCCGTGCTTGGTAGCGACGAAGGGTGCTAACTTGATTGTTCTAGCTCTCAACGAGAGCACCAAATGATAGAGTATATATCTAGAGAGAAGTGAGAGCTAGAGAGAGAAGCGCAAGTAATGCTTCAATAGAATGATTTTGTAACCCTGATAACTACCTCCAGAGGAAATATTTATAGGGAAAATACGGGCTGGGCTCCCAAGCCTTGGGCTTGGGAGGCCCATTTACAACTGGACCGCTACTGGGCCGAATACAAAGCCACTAATGGGCTGTACAAATGAGTAAGTGTAAAATCCGGTTTTGTGGGTCTCCCGTGGCCGACAAGGGCGTGGCCGACGAGGGCACGGCCGACGAGGGCACGGCCGACGAGGGCACGACCGACGAGGGCACGACCGACGAGGGCACCCGGGTTCCTTGGCTTCAGGACCATATTTTGAGTTGGTACCTTTCCGGCCGACGGGGGTCCCTTGGCCGACGAGGGCACCACTCAGTGTCTTGTGCTTTCTGTTCTTCTGAGTATGTGGGTCCTGGGGCTCAGACCCATATACTCCATCACTAACTTCTTCAGGTTGGATAAAACAGATCCAGAGAGTGAACATGGGAGGGATGTGGATCGTTTGATTCAATCGTCTCTCAAGCCATCCTTCAATACCCGTAATGACATATTTCGGCGAAGATGCATCAGTTTCTCTTATCGGGAGAAGAATGGCGGGGGAGACAAACTGCAATGAGAAGAAGCGGAGAAGATGTTAAAGTCCCACACCGGATATTTCTCAAAGAATTAAAAACTATATTAAGATTTGAGCTCCTCCTATAAGGTTGAAATTTTATGACGGAACTCTAGTTCTTAACATGAATGACAACTGATGAAAAATGAATGACAATCGGATATCTCTGAAAGAATTAAACACTATATTAAGATTTGGGTTATTTCTCCTATAAAATTGACCTTTTAGATGGAACTCCAAATCTTAACGGAAAAAAAGAGAGAGAAATTAAACAATGCCAACGGGAAAGACAAAATTTGGAATTCTGGGTTTTGATAGGGGATTTAGATTATTTTTTAAACAAATAAGTTAAAAGTGAAAAGGTAAGAGTTTCTAAATGAAATATAATTGGTCTTAAAACATAAAGTTTTAAGTTTGACTTTACACGCTTTTAGGTGGAACAATTTTGTGTATTAACTTTTCGATAATACCATAACCCTTAATATTATTGGATTTCCGCATCTAAATCTTCTTTCTTCCTCAAATCTAACCTATCCTCCATGCTAGAGATCGAAACCAACCATCCTTGCCGAATATCGTACCCAACGTTTGTCCATTTGTTTTTTTCCATTCCACATTCTTGCCATATATTAGTAGTGGTCTTTGCCAAAAAAACATGAGTTTGACTTCTTTATGACATATGGGGTTGAAGTCTTGAAGAAGTTCATAATTTTATTTTATTTTGCATAAAAAGTACTCCTTACGTCCCATAAAACTTGACCAAAGTTAACCTACATAGATTAATAAAGTAAAAATCATGTGATTGAAATTTGTGCGGGGGAGAAAGAAAGAACTTTAGCCACATATTTCTTCCTTTAAATTGAAATGACAGTTTTTTGGGACAGCTCAAAAATGAAATTTGGCCAAATTTTATGGGATGGGGGAGTATACAACTATGCTCCAAGCTCCACGGTTGAGGTAAGTGAACATGAAAGGCTAGCTCTGACCATCCCACATTTAAAAAATTAATCGTTAGTCTAAAATCTTTTATGTAGAAATTATCCAAAAAAAGTCTTTATACCGGCATAATCCAGTATATACGTCTTGCTACATCACTACCAAGGTCTCCAAATTAATTCCAATTTTCAAAGTAAAGCCTTGACCATTTAAGATTATGCATATACTTATAAAAGTTATAGTGTATTAACATTTCAATATATAATATTTGGGGAAAAGTTATTCAGAAGTATCTTCATATTATAAAGTGACTTTATGTTCTACGAGTATTAAATAAAGAGAATATTAGTTAGAGAAATTTATCTCTCATGTGATTAAAAGAACATGAGTTTCCCAATCTCTTACCAGTAAGTTATTCCTCGCAATATGTGATGATAAATGTATGCATGGTCATTCCCTTTTTTCCTTCCCTATTAGTTAATTATTCCGTGCCAATATGTTGAAGGCGTTGCTGTTGGTTGCGGATGGCAAAAGTTCGTAGCATACGTCAATGTAGGATGCTATTATATAGTTGGAGTTCCACTAGGATGTCTTTTGGGATTTCACTTCAACCTCGGTGCTAAGGTAATTAATTACGCTCACATATGTTTTTTAGTTTTTACTTGGAATTCATTTCATTGTTCACCCATTATACTTTATAAGCGAAAAATGACTGCACACAAAATTTAAGGTAAAAATCACTTTACATAAACAATAAAAATAATAGTATGGTTAGGTATATGATTTATGATTAAATAACATACACAAACATTCATCGCAGTGCTTTATTAAAAAATATATAATATTTTACCATCCCACGTAAAATACGTTATATATTACTTTTAAAAGAGTGTCATACAGTTTAAAATGCCATGTTACATCAATGTATGTATGCATTATAGACGGCTATATCTAACGAATTAGCTAGGGGTATAAGACTATATTCACCGATTGAAATATGGAGTATGATTTATCTAAAAGTATATAATATCTGTCACAATTGTTACACATATAAAGATAGTATGGTGGAAAATCAAGTTTCATTAAATGTGAAATTAATGTGTAGCTCATTAAGCAATGCCAGGTATAATTTTGAATGATGTGGTTAAATATGGTAAATACTAAATATATACTCCAGTATAATAAGTTGTACTTGATCACTAATCACATTTTATGATAGTAAATATTTTTAACATATAAAGAAGTATGTAATCTCTTTGGTATTTTGGGAATTAATATTAAAGAGATAATGTACATATTAGGTTTTGTTATAGTTTAATTTTAAAAACAATAATACGATCATAAAATTTTGAAATATGATAAAAATTAAAATGATAAGTCTTGCATGACCACTGAATACATTTGTGAATTTAAAATAATACTATTTTTATATCATAAAGGGTATTTCAAAATATATATAATGTAAATGGCTAATTGATTGACATATGAGGGTCATTGTTCAATCTCAATAGTCGTAAGACCTCAATTTGACTACATATTTTTTATGAGTACCTATTTGTTGTGATGCCTCCACCATACTATCTTTGTAATAAAATGGGCAAGACACACACATTGTAAACAATGTATAGTTATGCGTTTGATTTTGATTATGAAACTATTTATAAACTTAGTGGATGAGATAAAAAAAATGGATACAAAAACTAGTAGGCCGTGAGAGGCCAGGTAATGTTTATATATCTCTTGCGATTACCAGATTGACTACCTTATTTTACATATTAATATTTATTTTATGATGATGTAAATTTGCAAGTGTACATACACCAAAGGCCATTTTTCTCTATTTTGTGAACAAGAAGTACAAAATGCAAACTTCAAAATTAATGTGGCGTTGGAGTAAGTTTTTTAAATTTGTAAATTAAAGTTTGATTTTATATCCACATTATACAATAAATTATTATCATTGCTAAGTTTTTATTATTATGCACAAACACTTTTAAAATGACAAATGTCAGTTTAGGTTTGATGTTATATCAAGAGTTCATATTAATGATATTTCTATCAAAAGACTAGCAAATATTTATGTGACACCTATTTTTGAATTAGTGATGTAAACGTTGTGTTTCTATTGTTTTATCTTTGATCTTGTGAAATTTTCCATTCTCATTAGCAAATATGATCTTTTTCTAAATGTACTCACAATTCAGCGTTCATTAGTTAAGAATTATATCATTCTTACACATTTTTTATATCTTCAATTCAAGTTTATATGTGAAGTATTCATTACTACTTATCAAACGAACTACGTAGTTTTAAAATGATTTCTACAGATTGATTGACTAGTAAAGATAAACAATTAAAAGGTTAACAATTTATGAAACGAAAAGAAATTACTATCACACTATAAAAATAAAATACTACATCACCGGACCTCCCTAAAGTTTCTTGGTTTAAAACCCGATCCCTCTAGCTCAATCATTGAAGCTTATAACAATAAAATTCTTTAATCATCTCACGTCAATCAAATATTAACATATCTTATATACAGAATTTCTGATTATTTTTCATATCTGGTTGATATTGTAGGCTAAAGTATGACTTTTAGTGTTTTGTAATACTTATTATGCTCAAAGAGAAATTCAATTTAGTTAACTTCAATTTAGTTCTATACACAATACAACGTACTATCATCTGCCAAAACCAACTTTTTTGGTTATGTCCATATTATTATAGGGCATATGGGTTGGAATGATGGGCGGGACAGTGATGCAGACGGTCATTCTACTATGGACCACGATACGAACAGATTGGGACAAAGAGGTAATAAATTATATATATATATATATATATATATATATATATATATATATATATATATATATATATATATATTCAAATATTATTATATTAAGTTCTTACTATGAATTATGGTTCAGAAAATATAGTTTGAATTAAATAATTTATTTTTCATGTGCAATAGTTTTTTTCAAAATAACTTAAACTAAGTTATTGAATTGCTTTAATATCAAATTATATTGCTTTGGTATGACACATTGTAAAGAGGAATTTATTTTCACCATTAAGGATTAAATTACGAGAGACATTGTGATCTAATCGCATCACAAGATGCTTGCATATCATACATTCTGTTCCATATTGATAGCATTATGTGTGACAGGTAGAAGCGGCTGATAAAAGATTACAACAGTGGGGTGCAAGTGCAACAAAAGAGCCTCTCTTGAAGAGCTAGAAGGGGCACACAATTGATTGATATACGTTTGTATAATGGAATTTTTTGTTTTAGTCCATGCCAATGTATGTGCGTTTTACCAATTTCCACACCTTGTTTAATTTACATAAAATGGATATGACATGTTGAAATCATTCTCCCTCCATTAAGTACAATGTGTTAGAGGTTAACTAATATATTGTCAATGGTGGTTTCACCATAACATACTAAATAGTAATGCTAATGGGATAAACTAATTGTTTCTCAATAACAATTAGATTGAATCAAATTTATACTGTTGACACACATTTTATATTTTAAATACTTTTAAAAGTATATAGAACTAGAACTATTATTTCTATTAGACACATTCATGGGCGAGAAATTCAAGTATGATCTAATTCTCGAAATAAAGCAAAACTTCTAATTTTATATCATGTTAGAAGTATTTTAGTTACTATTTATGAATCAAGTCATATCTTCATGTAATTCCTAATTTTAATTCTAATTTCTAATTATAAGAAACCTAGCATATGCACACTTAATATTGATTATGCTTTAGATATATTCATATTATAATCCTACTTATCATAGTTTGTTCGATCATATATAATGATCTCAGATATGTGTAATTGGAGTATATATTTTATAAACTAAAAGGGTTGATGAGATATTAAGGTCCGGCCCAATATGGCGACCCAAAATATCCCTGAAGCCCAGACGCAAGCAAAGGCCCAGGGAGAATCATCAGGCCCAAACGGAAAGCCCCGTTCGGCACCTCCCGAACGAGATGTACTTAAGACTTGGTTAATTCGCTTATTCCTGATTGATGGCTTAGCTGGACTTAACCCCGAACGAACATTTCTCGAGTAACCGACTGCAGTTAATGCCGGATCATGGGGCATCAAGTGGCATGAGAGGCAACCAATCATATTAGAGCACCCCATAATCCCATCTAGTATAAATAGCAACATTTAATTCATTGTAAGGGTTAGCATTTGTTTACTCACAAGCTTATATTGTATTCTAGCTCTTGTATTAGCCTTTGGACCGTAAAACCCGTTCGGCCATTTTCGTGTAATCACTATTATTGCGTTGATACAAGCAAGACTATTTGAGTGAATCTATCATTTTTTATATTTCTTTTTTTGAAAGGAAACTAATGCATTAAATCAACTCAAACTCTCAGTGTGTAGCTGAGAGATAATACAAGCAGGTGGATTACAGACCATATAAAAACTATCCTACATGGAAAGAGTAGACCTGGCTAACTTATGAGCTACTACATTCGCGGACCGTCTACAATGAATGACTTCTATCCTAGCTTCATTATGAAGACTAAGTCTTATGTCATCTAAAATAGTATCCAAATAAGCGTCCCCATCTCGTTTATCTAAACCAGCCACTACCACTTGGGAATCTGTTTCAATCTCTATCCTTCCCCAACTCAGTGTTTTTCCCCAGGCCAGCGCTTCGCGAACGTCAATTGCTTCAGTGATCTCTGCTGACCAATTAGCGCCTTCCACATTCCAACCACTACTAATAAAAATGCCCTGAGAATCCCTGGCTACTCAAGCCCAAGCTCGTCTATTATTTTGTGCATCTAACGCCGCATCCACATTGATCTTAATCTTGCCTTCCGCTGGTTTTTTCCAACCAGTCGCTTGACATGTCACCCTTGTTGTTCCATCGGGCTCTATCTGAGCTGTTTTCCATCCCCGTAGAACCATTGCTCCCATCTCCAAGCAGTGGCGCCAATCCGCGTCTTGATTCTTCCAAACTTTGTCATTCCGAAGCTTCCAGATGCTCCAAAGATTAGCAACAAAAATGCAAAGATCCTCATCCTGCAAATTGTCAAATTTTTTTTAATCCAGTCAGTAAAAGTCTGCCTTTGCCGGACATAACGGGCCCCCAATTTCCTCCACACCATGTCAGCTATCCTGCAAGATCTGAATATGTGATCTTCTGATTCATCCTCCTCTACACAAACCTTGCACACATTGTCAATCTCCACATGCCTGCGGCGCAGATTATTTGCCGTAGGTAAACAACCCGTCATCACCTGCCACACAAAGCACTTCATTTTTGGTGGTATTTTAAGGCTCCACTTCTTCGTCCAACCCATCCACCCCTGGCCCGTGTACCCCCCCCCCCCCCGAAGTACCCTGTAACTTCTCTTCACTTTATAAATTCCTCTACTGTCTTCATTCCACCAGATTCCATCCGCAGGTCTCCTTCTGCTGATGGGAATAGATAAAATAGCTCTTCTATCCTCTGCTGAAAAAATGGTATTGATTCTTTCCTTGTTCCACTGATTCCCATGCTCATTAAGCAATGCCGCTACATTCATGTCAGCCACTCCGTCCGGAGGTCTTGACTGAACTCGTCCTGACCCTTGTCCTGGTAGCCAGCGCTCACGCCAGACCGAAATGGTCTGACCATTGCCCACTTTCCTCCTTATGCCTTTCTCAAGCATTTCCTGCTTCTGAATCATGCTGCTCCATATGAAGGAAGGATTATTCCCCAATTTGGCCTGCAAAAAAGAAGAATTAGGGAAGTACTTTGCTTCAAAGATTCTTCCCACAAGCGAGTCCGGATATTTGATTAATCTCCAAACTTGTTTGCCCAACATGGCTAGATTGAATTCTCTTAACGATCTATATCCCATTCCGCCTTACTGTTTCGGAATACAAAGTTTTTGCCAGCTTTTCCATATAATTCCTTTTCTGTTTTGATCAGCTCCCCATCACCAGTAGTCATTCATGATTACCTCGATCTCAGCACACAATTCCTTAGGCAGCAGGAAAACGTTCATAGCATAAGTCGGCATAGCTTGGATCACAGTTTTGAGCAGAATTTCTCTGCCAGCTTTAGAAAGAAATTTATTAGTCCAGCTCCTCACCCTAGAAATGATTTTTTCTTTCAGATAACTAAGAATCTTCTTCTTATGTCTTCCTATGAGAGAAGGTAAACCCAGATAACAAGCATTGTTTCCCTCTGTTCTCACCCCCAGGCAATCTCCAACAAACTTCCGCCTCTCTTCATCGAGGTTTGGACAAAATTTAATATTAGATTTCTGGTAATTCACCACCTGTCCAAAACACCCTTCATAAGTATGCAAAACATGTTTAATAACCTCACATTCCTGTTCCCTGGCCCTAAACATCTTTATAATAAGTGAATTTATTTATCTGTCGGCGCACGGCCCTTCTTATATGTTCCTTTTCATTTATCATTTGCACAACCCAACCCTTGGGTCTTATTATTTCTACGGGACTTGCTACCGCTGTCTGAGACCTCATGAGGCTCCCGGTTCGGACTCCAACATCTCGCCCCTGAACTCATACCCATCATCCCGTAGGAAGGTAAGGCCCTTCGGGGTCCTATCTTATGTGTTACCGCTACCGGAACCTAGTTAGGTCTCCGATTCGGATTCCACCCTAACTCGTGATCACGATGTAAGTCCTGTTAGTATATATGTCCTAGCGACGATCATTTCTTTAAAGACATATGTACTTGATCACATTTAGTTTTTATATTTGATATATACACGGTATTACACTTTATGAATGATTGTTTTCGATTGTCAATGTTTTATTCATAATTGTGTTCCCTTGGATTTATGTTGTCAATAAGTAAGTGGGAGCTTATATGATATAACATAAGGTCCTAAAATAGCCCCAATCAATGATCATCAAGAATGAGATATTGATGATATACGATAAGATTGGTATGTGGACTGCATCATACTTTTAGAAAGTATAGTTGATCTCACGACTATGAGTTCCTGTAATTCATGATGGTCACATAGATATTTTAGAGAATATTGGCATACCCACCGAGAAACCATTTGATAAGTTCTATTCATGTGTCTATGGGATTATCGGCGTATAAAGTAGTGTAATAGTCCTCCGACTTGAGGTCAATACGTACTACATGTGCGGAGTGATGTACTTTGACCATGACCAACGCTTGCACTTCAATCGGGGTAGATACGACATGTGTTGGGTGCATCACGAAGCACATGGAGTAGTAGTTGAGCCAAGAAAGGATTCATTCCTCATAATAGATTAAGAGAGAACATTCTACTTCTCATATCTAGATGGATCATAAAGTCATTGGCCAATGCAAAGATATATTCGTTTTGGATATCGAATATGATCGTTATGGATCATCTAGAAAGATTGAGAGACAGAGACTGAGTTATTGGGATAGACACTATATCATGTTCTAGACTTAGTTGAATGTTCGCTGAATGAAAGGACCGTATCACTATGAGCTCTATATTACAGGGAGTTTGTATAGTCCTCGCAAACGTCCTTATATATTAAGTTTGTCTGGAGAATCGTCTAGGGATTCGCTAAGACCTTAATTTGATTAGTGTTTAATATATAAGGCCCTATGGGTCACACAACAAGTGATTATACCTTCCAATTGAATTGTTAGAAGGAATTAAATATTATTAATTGGATTAAATAATATTTAATTCATGATACTGAAAATGAATTAAATATTAATTAGATTAAACATATTTAATTCATGAAGCTGAAGGAGAGTTCTATTTGATAGAATTAATTAAGTAAGATAAATTAGATTTATCATACTTAAATAAGATGTATTTATTATTAAATAAAGTAGATATTTTCTTTTGTAATTTGGAATTAAAAGAAAAGTAAATAAAATAAATATTAATATATAATAATTAGAAAGTGGCGTGCAGCCACATCTCAATTATTATTATTATTATTATTATTATTTTGTTTTGTTTTATCTACTTATTTAATTAATTAGGAGTATTTGGTCCTAGCAGGATTAGAACTCATTAATTAGAAAGACTTTCATTGTGATTGGGAAACTAGTTTCGAACTAGTATAAATACATCCTTCTCCTTCATAATTTGTAGACCAGTTTTCAGATTCAGTATTACCAGTTTATTTCCCTGCGAAGAGATTTCCTAGCCTTTCTCTTAGGGAGATCTAACCGTTCTTTCGGGAAGGAGAAATCACGTGGATACCAAAGGTCAAGGATTATCACCGCTAGGCTGGAAGATCTGTAAGTTCTAACTCAGATCTGTTATTATTATTATGTTCGTTATTTTGTCATAATCATGGAAGATCTGTTTGGGAAAATTTTAAACTTCTGCTGCCGTACTTTCGAGGTACGTTACATCAATTTCCCAACAGTGGTATCATAGCCAAACTGATTTTAATGACATTATACGAATTTTGAGCTATTTTGCTGGATCCAAAATACATAATTTTGGGATTATGTTTTCGACCAAAGTTTGAGATGCACGATTAG